GGAAATGAGAAAGCTTATTAAATACATTCATTTTGACTTTGTTCCCTTATCAAAATATTCAGAAGTAACCAACGTTGCTGTGGATTGCTACGATTCTTATAAGGGGTACGTTTTAGCACCATTTATGTGAAAACAGTCAAGGCATTTTTCAAGATGTAAATGAAAGCTCCTAAAATTAAGTATAAAATATGATTTTGAAGTTTAGAATTAGGCTCAAGCATTTCTGCTTACTAGAACTGCCAAGTCCACTGTCAAGACTGCGGACATTTTAAGCCCTGTGTCCCTCCCTTGTACTGATCCATGTTTCAGCAGTTTCATTTCTGACCCAAACTTATACCAAACAAATCAATGAGATTAATTGAGAAAACACAGCATCCTCCTCCATAAATGCCACTGAATGCTATTAAAAAACATTCAGAATGCTTAAACAAACTGGTGGCCATGAGGTCTAGGACCAAACATACATCATAAATGATGTATTAATATAACATTTCAATACAATTAATATATATGTGTTTCTAGATTTAATAACCACTCTATATATTTCCATTATACATACTAAAACCCATTCCACCATTCCGGGTAATAGATTTCAATATACCCTGAAAAAATACAATACATGGGGTCAGGCACGGTGGCTCATGCCTGTAATCTCAGCACTTTGGGAGGCCAAAGCAGGCGGATCACCTGAGGCCAGGAACTCGAGACTAGCCTGGCTAACATGGTAAAACCCTGTCTCTACTAAAAATACAAAAATTAGCTGGGAGTGGTAGTGCATACCTATAATCCCAGCGATTCAGAAGGCTGAGGCAGGAGAACTACGTGAACCAGGAGGCAAAAGTTGCAGTGAGCTGAGATCGCACCACTGCACTCCAGCCTGGGTGACAGAGCAAGGCCCTTTCTCAAAAAATACATAATACAATACATGGGGCACTTCGCCTCCACCCTCCCAGAATACTGCTGGGTTCCAAGCTGTGAGGGCACATGCACATAAAGAAAGGTGTGCTGTGACTGCAGACCAACACACATGCACGCGCACACACACACACACACAACCCTCCTGGTCATGAGCAAGCGCGACTCACCCCTATTGCTAGTGACTTATAGGAAAAGCTAGAGGTGGCAGGCTGTCAAACCAATTTAGTTTTGCCCCTTTTCATGGCTTCAAGTTATAAACTGAATTACAAAAACATTAATAATCAGCTGCCTGTCTTTACTCACACATTCACTAAACCACTGTTCTGTTCAACGTGGCACTGGCTCCCTGGTCTTTCCATCCTCTTAGATAATGTCACAAATGAGGTTTCCCAAGACAGTTAAACATTAAAGAATATACTTCTGTTAAATAAGGAATTTAAATTTTAGAAATAGGAATTTGTAAAACATATACAGGTAAGGCCTTCCATTCATTCAGATTTTTATTCTTCTATAACTTAAGCACAGGAGGTCTGTCTAGCATCTGTGGTTTTGTTCTTGAATGGCATTTTAACATTTATTCTAGAATTAGTTCCATCTTCTTCAGTTCACTTCTTACAGGTCCTTGGACTATTTTTAAATTACTTGGTAGTGTGTCTTGCCTTTGCCAAACTATTTGGTAATTCTATGTATTTCACATATATTTCACATTCACTTCGCACACACTGAGGGCTTTAAGTACTCACAGATCTTATAGAAAGGCATTTCTTTTTCTGCATGTCTACAAATAAGATTCCGCAATGGTTTATGCTTCTGACTTTTAAAGGGGAGTACCTACCAAGTACTGCTTAAGAAAAAGAGATAAGAAAATGATCCAACTGTACTTTAGTATCCAAAAAAGACACAACCAAGAAGTCTATGTAAGTCCTATGTAAACACCGAGATGGTAGGAGTGTTGTATCATTAAAGGTGATACAGGACTTCACAGCCTCTCACTTGAAGATCTTCAGAAAGTAGACTAACCCTTAAGTAAAATAGCACATTGTGGGGAGAGGGAGGACATGATGAATAACAACATAGGATGAATAGCAACAACAAAGACCAAGTACATAAAAACTCACAAATGCTTTTCCCAACAGAGGTGTTACCAATTCATGTGGCTTAAGATTTTACGTGACAAGCTCCAAAAGTGGTGGGGAAAAAAAAAGATACCAAGGCAATGTCTGTTCCCCTTAAACAAAGAAAATCTTATCAGACACTAACTGAATATAAAATAGAGTAAGAAAAAGTGCAAATGGCTATATAAAGAAAAAAGGATTCATCCTGTTCCATGCATTGAAAACATTTTCATATACTTGGTATTCTAAGGAAGAGGAACTGCAAACACTTTCGATCAAATCCAGGCCTGAATCATCAGTTAGAGACCATGTATTACTGGCTTCTTGTTCTCCAATGTGACCATCATTGTTCCTTGTGGATGAGCAACAGATGTATATGCACAAGGAGCTCAGGATATAAGGAGGGGAATCTGAAAATGTTCTGGAAAAGCAATTTAATTCCATGAAGCATAATACAGGGAAATTATTTTATGTTTAAATTCACCTTAAATGAGCTCACAGGTGTAAAAGTCATGCCTCCTTAAGATGGAGATAACTTTTCTGCCAATACATAGGGTCCACAACTCCTAAACTCTTGCAAGAAACTCTGGGACAGAAAGTTAAGCATAGTATAGTTCCTACTACATTCCTTTATTCTAGAACACTTTATCATTTTGAAGATTACTCTAAGTGGAACATCCTACTGAATTCATTTGATCTCCATTTAACTTCTAACCTGCTGATGTCATCTGACCAGCTCAATACCAAGAATGAGAAATGGAACTAAGATTCCGGGCAACTGAAGTTGCACATTGCAATAAAAAATTTTTATTTTTAACGTTGATCAATCATTTCTATTCCCTGAAGTACTGTTTCTTTGATAGCTTTGCTTCTCTGACGCCATGATCCCACTAAACCTAAACAAGAGTTTCACAGATTCTGACAAGGGCGTCAGACAGAAAGCAACATAAAAGAAACACATCCTTTTCCCCAGAAATCCAATTGAAGTTCACTAAATTGAGAACATTTTCAAAATGCAAGGATAGGTGACTATTATTAACATGAGTATTATTAAAATTCAATGACATATATGAACTAATGGTCAGATTTAATGTACCTGAAGGGCACAGATCCCTGCTGCTATGTATATATGATATAAATGTTTCCAGTTGTGCCTTAAAAAATATCAGAAATGAATGGTAAGCATTTTCTGCTGTGCAATCCCATATACTACAATGAAAAATCAAAGCCAATAAGAAGTCATTATTACTTTAATTTGGCTTCTAGGTACCTTCTTATTCAAGGCACAGTTGCATTTCACAGTGAAAAACACAAAGCCTCTCCAATGTATTCATATACATTCAGAGCAGAATTTGATTTCAACACTCTAATCAATAAACATTTAGCAAAATGTGATGAATATTACTGATGAGGTAATGGGAGAATGCTAAAGTAACAGTCTGAATAGTTTTGTGCATCCTGAGTTTTCTTAACTAAAGAAACTGAATTACAAAAATCAGTTTCTTTAATTAAAAACAAAATTTACATTTTCAAAAAAGGTTTGCCTCAAAAAGAATTGCTTCTAAACTATATTAAATTGGACCAAATAAAGATTTTAATTATTGGCCGGGCGCGGTGGCTCAAGCCTGTAATCCCAGCACTTTGGGAGGCCGAGGCGGGTGGATCACGAGGTCAAGAGATCGAGACCATCCTGGTCAACATGGTGAAACCCCATCTCTACTAAAAATACAAAAAATTAGCTGGGCATGGTGGCACGTGCCTGTAATCCCAGCTACTCAGGAGGCTGAGGCAGGAGAATTGCCTGAACTCAGTAGGCGGAGGTTGCAGTGAGCCGAGATCGCGCCATTGCACCCCAGCCTGGGTAACAAGAGTGAAACTCTGTCAAAAAAAAAAAAAAAAAAAAAGATTTTAATTATTATAAAACAAAGCTCAGTACTTCAGGGAAACACCACCTCCACAAATGTTGAGCCAATTCAGGGGCTGCCAGTAGAATTCTATTGTCTCTGGTTCATGTGAACACTATCTGCAGTCCACACCCCCTGAGGCCAATTCAGGCCATAAGGCAGACCATGCTCAGCAGAGTTGCCCCTTCACCACCCCAGTCACCACCCTTAGCCTGACTGGGAAGATGATGGTTCATAGACAGGAAGGCTGCCTCCCTCAGGGTTCCCAAAACCAATCAAGGGCATAGGCGGCTCAGCCACACTTTTGCACTCATATTCCTACATGCTTCTGCTTAAATGTACTCGTGGAAAATCTTAGATGGTTTGCTGTCACTCATCCCCTGCCCCAGATGGGTTACACAGATCTGGCAATGGACACACCCTCCAACACAGCATGAAAAGAGCACAGGAAAACCTGGGTCCAGCTCAGCCCTACCTCAAAGTAATTTGGCCTTGGTTTCCTCCTTTGAAAACAAGTGGATAGAAACTGTCTGGCTATAAAATCAGGAATCTATGGAACTGAAGAATAATTAAAGTTTCCAACACTAAAGCACACAGGCAAGTAGTGTCTGTCCACACTGATGGGGCACCACCTGCACCAAGCCCCGGACTCCAGTGCACTGGAGGCATCAGATACCTGTCACAATCACAAGGAGGAAGAAGTTCTAGGTTCCCTCACCACTCCCTCCTATGGCTCCTCCAGTCTTCAAAAATGCCTTGAAATAACCCACTTTTGGACCCAATTCTTAATCTGCTGCAAGACAATCTTCTTAAAATAGCCTTAATTAAGATGTAAGTCTAAACCATTGCTCTTCCCTCCATAAGATGAGATTACCAGAGGTTGTCATGACTATGTCAGTAACAGATCCATCTCAGAATTATGCCACTTAAAGCAGACTGTTAGAGGCCCCCTTAGTGCAGTGGGCAGCACATCCATCTCATGATCTGAAGGTCCTGAGTTAAAGCAGACTGTATAGGGAGAGCTACAGAAAACATTACTACTAGAGAGGGGAAAAATACTGTCTTAAAAAAATTAGAAGCCAGTGTACCATTATAGAGAGTTTTGATTTGAAATATAAAGAACATATTCCTCTCCAAAACTTAGTTTCCTCTGATACAAAAGTATTTGCTTTCTGGAAAAGATATAGTTTGCACTGTCCAACAGGTGTGCTCTGAAGGCCCCCACTGAAATATATTGCATCATAGATGAGGGGAAAGACTTATTAATTTCTCTTATCAAAAGCTAATCATCTTCAGGACATCCTGTCCAACTTGGTTCCCAGGGGCCCAAGGGTTCTCAGAGATTGTTCTTAGAGACCTCTCAGGCCTGCAGCCCAAGCCCAGGAGCCACCTATGCATCTTAGCCACATCACCAGGCTGTCAGGAGCATGCGTCTCTCACAGACTGGTCTCCTCACACACTCTGACAGGGATGTTATAGTGGCGATCGTCCTCAGCAATGAGCGTTACCACTGGCCAGTCCTTGGGTGGGTCGGTAGGGTAGACTGTGATGAACTCCTCCGTGTTGTACTTGGAGAGCCGGTACACCTGGATTGTGTGGCGCACAGCATAGGCAAGAAGGAACATTTCAACCTGGGAAGAAAACAGCAAACGGGTATTCTGAGGAAGATCACACTGAAAGATGTGGCTTAACGCCATGTTCCATCCATTATCCCACAACGCACAGCAAAGGTGAAGCCACAGCCTTTCTTTCCTCCCCCTATGGGCCCAGCCCCAATCCTTTTCTATTTAAAAGAAAAGGGAAGATAACCAAGAATGAATCATATGTCTGTTAAGGGACCTGTACCCAGGATAAAGAACTCTCACAACAATTAACAAAACAAAAAAACAAATAACCAGCTTAAAAATTAAGCAAAAGATCTGAACAGACACCTCTCTCCAAAGAAGATATACAACTGACCAACAAAGCACATGACAAGATGCTCAACACTGTAGGTCATTACAGAAATGCAAATCCAAACTACAACGAAAGACAGTACTTCACACCCACTAGAATGATTATAGCCAAAAAGATGATAATGGGGAGTGACTGCTTTATGAATACAGGATTTTCTTTGGGGATGACATGTTTTAGGACTTCATATAGGAGGTGGTCACTGTCAGTGTACTAAATGTCAATGAGATGTATACTTTAAAATGGTTAATTTTATGTTATGTGAACTTCACCTCAATTTAAAAAAAAAAAAAAAAAAAGAAGTGTTGGTGAAGATATGGTAAACGGGACACTGCTACATTGCTGGTGGGGATGTAAAATAGTGCAGCTGCTTTGCAAACAGTTTGGTAGTTCCTCAAAATGTTAAAGAATTATCATATGACCCAGCAATTCCACTCCTAGGTGTATACCCAAGAGAACTGAAAATATATGTTCACATAAAAAAAATTTTACATGTATGTTCATAGCAGGGTTATTAGGGTTATTCACAGAACTAAAAAGTAGAAACAATCCAAATACCCATCAAACTGATGAACAGATGAGTAAAATGTGATCCATCCATACAATAGGATATTACTTATCAATAAAAAGGAATGAAGTACTAATACATGGCGCAATATGGATAAATCTTAACAAACAGTATGCTAAACCAAATAAGCCATAAACAAAAGACAACATATGTTATTATTCCATTCATATGAAATGTCCAGAATAGGCAACTCCATTGAGACAGAAATTAGATTAGCGGCTGCCTAGGGTTAGAGTAAAGAGAAAGTGATTACTAATGGGTATGGGGTTTCTTTCTGGGGTGACAAAATGGTCTAAAATTAGACTGTAATGATGGTTGCAAAACTTTTTAAAAGAGTAAACTTTATGGTATATGTAATTATATTTCAAAAAAGAAATGGAAAATTTATTAAAAAACAAAAAAGAATGTACTTACCATCACAGTGGACCTTACAGGGTCTCAGAAAAGACTAACTTTAATCTAATATACAAACCATCCCCTATAAGCATTTTTATTGCATGGTACGTGCTATGTTTTGAGACGAAAGCACCACATTATGACTACAGATAATTTTCAAAATAACCATCATCAGCCCTGCCTGACCCAGCAGTGACCATTAGTCTCCACTCCTTCCTACACACCTAGGAATAACAGAAAAGACTTCACACTCCAGGACAGCTCAGAATGGAACCTAACTCAGCTCTCTAATCCTTGCAGTATCTGTCCTGGCACTTGGGCCTTTTTAGAAAAAAGCAGGCACAAGAGTCAATTATGCAAGTAAGAGGGTGGCACTTTGATGAACAGCTTAATGCTACTTTAGTGGTTGGCTATTCCACTAAAAAAAAAAAGCCTCATTAAGACTTTTTAGGGAAATGAACACATCAAAGATAGCTCAGATAGCACGAGGTGTGGTGACTCAACTATATTGGCTTTAGAGACAGTACTGCACTCAGTTTCTGTGTAAAACTCCACATTTAACATATCTGTAACAGATCCAAGAGCAGGCTGGACTCTACTAGCTAAGGTGACTCCATTTCTTTTTAATGCAGCTACAGCTGCCAAGATTCAACAACACCCTTCAAACGGCTCTTCCAAGAACATCGTTTATTTGTAGCCTCCCAGAGCCAAGAGTACTAATCCCATCCACCACTCTGAAGAATAAGGCCCAGGTCGAGATAACGGTGGTGACTAAAAAGTACATTCCACAATTCTTTGGTACTCCTCACTCGAAACAGTGGAGCCAAATTTCCCTCCTCTTGAGAGTGGAATGCATTAAGTAACATGTTTCTAAAAAGTAGAATACAGTGTAGCAGTGTGTGGCTTCCTGGAATAGGGCAAAAAAGGCATTGTGGCTTCTTTCTTGCTCTCTGCTTAGATCACCCTGAGAAGCCAGCTGCCATGCTGTAAGGACACTCAAGCAGCCCCCTGGAGGCCTATGTGTGAGGAACTGAACCCTCCTACTAAGTACCAGTAAGGAACTGAAGCGTCCTGCCCACAGCCACATGAATAAACAACACTGGAAGAAGATCCTCCAGCCCCAGTCAAGCCTTCAGATGACTGCAGCACCAAACATACAACTGCAACCTCATGAGATCCTGAGCCAGAACCATCCCTGAATTTCTGACCTATAAAAACTGTGACATCAAGTTTGATCAGTAAAGCTGCTATATTTTGGGGTAGTACATGCTCAAAAGCACAACTCACCTGTTCAAGACCACCAGTGTGTCCCACCTGGTTTAGGTGGTTCCTCAGCAGCTGTCCTGGGTCATTCGATGTGTCCCGAGCAAACAGAAGCACAGAGAAAAATGGTACTTCCTTTCCTTTCTCTTTATCATTATATAGTTCAATGGCTCTGTTTAGCATTAGAAATTTTACAGCTTCATAGAGGCTATATTCCTCCTCTTCATTTGTGAATAGTTCATCACAAGCTATTTGTCTTGCTTCAGCAGTTCTCATTTCAGCCAAGCCTGCCCACTACAATAAGAAAGTTATGTAATAATTACAATTTTTTGTTCTAAAAATCCCTGGTATAGTATCATACTATAAATTGAGAACAAAATTATTTTAAAAGGCAACCATGGTCATTTACCAATGCTTACAACATTCAGGTTTCCAGATTTAAAACGGTACACTTTATACCACACAAACTCCTTATTCAGCTTTTCCTCCCATTAATTTGAAAGAAAAATACAATGCAGGAAGAAGCACTGAGGCCATGGAAATTTTGACTCCCTTAACTTCGCAGGCAATGAGACTGAACCAGCCTTCAGAGATACTTAAGGAAGAGCTAACATACATGTGTGAGGCCTGTGTGTAAAGCTGTGAAGGGCAGCTATAATTACAAGGGGCTTACAGGAGAATTAACACCAGAAACACAAAGCCAACCCTCCAAAATGGAAGAGAGGTAAGGAAGAGTATATGGGCTCCTGAATATTAATTTACTAAGCTTATCCCTCTAACTTCGAAAATACATATGAACTTCAAATGAATAAATCCATTCAGGAAACTCTTACTGACTCCTGATTAAGAATAAAGTAATGTGTTAGGTATTCAGTGAATATAGGCAAACTCTTTAAAAAAGAAAACCTATAAATATATGTGCTTTTAAGTTACAGTGAATGAGAATAAGATGCCAACATAAATGCCATTCCCTATGAATAAACAATAACCAGTGCCCCCTCAAATGCCATTATGGATTTTAAATCCAAGAGTGAATTTTAATGGTAATGACTGCATAGAATTCTCTGTAATATTTGGGCTGAAAGCTGGAACACATTTGTCTTTATCTCATATTTTCCAGACTAGACCAAGCTGGCAGTCACAAACATGGCTCTAGAGTCAGTCAGGATAGAATCAGGGCTTCACCACAGAGCAGCTGGTGGCTTTTGCAAGGCATTTAACTGAGCTCCTGGCCTTAGTTTCCTCATCTAAAAAACAGGGATGCACAGCAACACCACCTTCATAGTTGTGAGAATTAAACAACACGTGAAATTTTAGTGTGGAGCCTAGCACAGAAGTGTTAGTAATGCTGGCTCAGATTATTAATGGGTAATTTTAATCTTAGTATAAATTGGCATCACTCAAGCGTTCCCAAATACGAGGGTCTAATTATAGTAGAAACACCTAATAAAGAAGAAATAGCAATTTCACAAGACCTTAAAAAAAATGAAAACAAAATGTGACCTGTGGTTGCGCTGAAGAACCCTCTCATCTCATTTACTCCCACAGGGCTATAGCCCTGGCCTCAACCTTCCACTAACCCAAGGACTGGGGAACACAAAATTCTGCATTCTAGTCCAACAGGTAACAAGAATGGAATTCCCCTCTTCCCTTCTCCTGCTCCCATTTCTTTATAGTAAAAGAAAGATAAAACTACTGGACTTCCTTTGACAGTTTATTTTCAGTAAATATTTCTTATCTTTGTAATCAAAAACTAGGTTCCAAGAAGTCAGGGCCCTCAGTTCACTAATTCAGTAAAGCACTGAATGAACACCCTGTGCCAGGCCTGCTGCTAAGCACAGGGTGTCAAGGAATGCACAGGACAGTCTCTCATGGAGCTAAAAGTCCAATGGGAGCAGCAGACCATATGTGAGTAAAGAAATCACTGCCTGAAGTACCTGAAGTGCATGCCAGGAAGGACCTTGAAAGTCCATGTTTGACCCCCTCTCTACCTGATTGCTCTCCACTGACAGCCTGATGTAAGTGACAGGCTCTCAACTCAGGGTTCTTGGTGAGAAGGGCTCCAAGCTGCTCAATGCAAGCAAGCTAGGGGTCATGTAAGCCAGTATGCAGGCAGGACACCCCACCCAGAGGTGACAGTGGAAAGCCACAGAAAGGTAGAATTTTAAACACCGAATCAATAGGAATCAGCAGACCAAGTTCTCCCTACAATTCTGTTTCAGAAAGAAATCTCAGGACAGTTTTCTAAAGACAAGTTACTAAATCTACTAACTGGTAAATCATTGAGGAAGAAAATAAGTCTGATAAATATGGGTAGAATCTTAAAACATGAGCATAATAGGAAAGAATTCAATAAATGTGAATTACTATGACCGATATTAGTATGGGAAATAGGAACCAAACTATATTCTTGAAACGTAAATATGACTTGGAACAGAGACTATATTTGTTAAGATTTCCTTTTAAGAAAGTTAAAAACTTCATTATTTGATACCCTAGCATCTGGCATCTCCTCTAAGAATATATAAGGTTGGTACTTCCCATTTTACCAAAGCCCTCGTGGGAAGAGTTTGAGTTCATTTAAAACCATTTTGCCTAAAAAATCAGCCAAGAGCATTTGAAAATCCACTGAGTGAAGACCAAAATTGGTCTTCTGAGGCAAGCAGGAATGACAGCTTCACTCTAATCAGACAGGACACTACAGGTTCCAAACCTTCTTCCTCAGCAGAGTAAGGGACTCTTGAATTTTATCAACCAGGTCCTCGTTCTTCCCATCAAATTTCAGTCCAAGTTTCCATTGCCTGATCCAGTTGTATTTGCTTATAAGTTTTTCTGGTAACTAGAACACCAAGAAACAAAGAGATAAAGAGGTATTAACATTCCAAGAAATCCACCACATGCTCTAAGCTGTAAGAAACCACAAAGTCTATGAAACCTACCTTTGTTTCCAGAATTAATCCTGCAAATCTGTCATGTGGGTTTAGGATGGAGGACCTAAATCTACAAGTCAGGAACTTAGAAAGTACCACCCTGAGGAGGGCTGCTGGAGTGAAATGATGCTTTTGGTTGAGATGCCAAAACACAGTCTGTCTTGCAGGACTCCAACCACGGCCAGGACATTCCACAGCAGTTGTACAGATAAGCTAAGGCCATGCCCACAGCACGTCCTCACACCAACCACCTTCAGGCTCAGGGCTCACTGCAGCCTCTCAACCACCACCTACACATGGCTCAGGACAGTGCTTCTGAGCATGTGAGAAGGTCCAGGGTGAAATCAAACCTGCTCCTTACCCAGTAAGAAAAATAAAATCTAGTTTCTGGTACTTCAAAAAATCTACCAAAAAAGAGGTAGAAAAAGACCTTTTTGTTAAATAATGTTAACACGTGTACTCAAAGTTCTAACATTCAGAGAAATTATGTCTAGTTTAACTGTCTAATTGATATATTGAGATAAAACACAACTGAAAATCAGAGGCAGGAGGTTAAGGGAGCTGTGATCACTTAGTTCAGGAAAGAAATGACAGCTGAACTCCTACAATGTTGGTTTCCCTTTTTTTATTCCTGGAGTATTTGTTATTTTGTTTCCTCCTAGTTATCAGCAGAATCTGCATTTGAAAGGCAGGCTGAGACCCAATCTGACTGATGACAGCACAGGAAGTGAGACTCTTCCAACAGTCCTGGTGTGTCAGGAGAAAAATCATAGAATTGGTCTGGGCATAGGTGTATCACTTCGCTGCTATAAAATTTACAAAGGAAAAAAAATTCACCTCTAAGCCAACAGATCATTAAAGAATAATTAAATCCTACAATTCCTATGAGGAAACTGACCTTGTTTAGCAGTTTTTAATACAGTTTTGCCAGTCCAGGCAACATAGCAAGACCCCCTATCTATAAAAAAAATTTTTTTTAATTCCCTGGGCACAGTGGCATGTGCCTGTATTCCCAGCTACTCAGGAGGCTGGAGCTGGAAGATCACTTAAGCCCAGGAGTTTGAGGTTACAGTTAGTTATGACTGCACCATTGTACTTTAGCCTGAGCAACAGAGCAAGACTCCATTTCTTAAAAAAATAATTTAAAAAAATACTTTATATAGCAAGAAAGAAATGAATAAAAATAAATACATAAAATAAAATAAATACAGTTTTAAATGAGGCTGTAACTTCCGTTCTACTGAATGTAAGACTAAAAGACCCTTTCATGAATAGTAGTTCTGGTTGTACCTTCTCAACCTATAGCAATCATGTGAAACTAAGGTGGTTTCTACAAAACATAGAACCACAAATGGAATGTAAATTACTTTTCACTGTGACCACAGTGATGGCAAATTATATCACTCACTAAGGTGGGGGGGAGGACTTCTCCTCTTCATCTTATTAGAATAACAAATGGCCACCCATCTAAGAGCTGCACAAGCCCACTCCGTGCCCACACTGCCCTGCCCACACTGCCCTGCATTTCAGCAACATGTGGCAGCTGCGGCAAAACCCTCAATTTGGTCTCTCAGATTTATCACAAGAACCTCACATGCCCTCAAGTGGCAACAAGCTAAAATTACAACTGGGCACAAAGAACTACAAATGAGCAGAAAACACTAGCTACACAGATGTGAGGTGGGAAAGGAAGTGAAGGGAAGCCCAGAAGACTAGCTGAGTATCTGGAGACAGTATACAGTTACCTAAAAAGTAGGTGCAGTACTCAACTGAATTACTCAGGAGACCCTGAAGACCTCACTACACAGAGAGAAACAATTGTTTCTTATTCCTTTCACACATTGGTCAAACAATTCAGGGTTGTATGCTTCCAGGAAATGCAGAAATCCTTAAGACAATTTTTAAAAACCAAGCATGAAAAAAAGAAGCCATCAGAAAGGAATGAAGTCAAATTTATTCAGAGGAAAAAAGTGAATACAACTTTAAATGCTTTCAAAGGTCACAGCACATGGAATACATGTGAATAGCCTTCATTTTCCACTAAGCGAAAACTGGACTTCCATTAGAATAAAGAAAAGTTAAGCAAGAAACCAGATTTAAATAAGAAATAGTGATTGGAAATATTCAAGAATAAAGTAGGTAATTAGCTTAGGTGTCATTTCGTTTGTGACTGAACTATAAGACGGCCTGTTTTCTCTAGTAAATGCCTGTAATTCTTGATACCACAACAGACAGCAAATAACAAAAATGTGTCATCCCCAAAACTAACTCACAAAAAAATCTGATATATAGTCTATCCCACTCTAAGCAAACACTGTCACAGTCTAACCAGTTGAGAGACATTATAAAATGTAGCAAACTTGGAAACCAAAGGACTCCTGCTCTAAAGGACGCCCCCTCTCAGGAACCAAAGTGTTGTCCCACATTTTTTAGCCAGGCTAAGCCATCTCCATAGTTGGAGTGAGGGTCAGATGATCTGGCTGCGGCCAAACACAGAGACTGGGATCTGGACAGAAATAGGAACAACAAACGGGAAGCCCAGGCAGGATGACAGGAGGTGAGGGGCAGCCAAACTGTCAGAGCGGCAATAAGGACAAAGCTCCGCCTCACAGGCAGGGAACAGAGCAAGGCCAGCAAAGCTAGGCACCAGCAGAAAGGAAGCCCGGGTCCCCTTCACTGAGCACAGATTAAGGGAAGAGTCACTCACTCCAGCTTTTCCAGTTACCTTTAATACCCTAAAACGAAATGATGTTCTAAAAGACAGAGAAGACAGCAAAATGCCACAGAGAACACCTCTCAATCTGCAAAAAGAAGCAGATAAAGCTAGCTAAAGTTTCCACCCTGATTTCCTTCAGTCACACTGCAAGAAACACTCACTTGCTCAACAAAGCCCTTGTCACAGTGGACCTTCCAAGGGAAGGGTGGGGCATGAGGGGCAAAGTGAGAACAGGAACGGAAAGGCATCCACAGGAGGACCTGCAGGACACCTGAGAGATTTGCACAACCAGACTAAGCTCATGGGTTCCTTTCTTCCTTCCTTCACTGGCCCCTCAGACACAAAAGCATGTACTGAATTTGAATTTGTCATCCAATCATGTCTCAGACATGATACCACAAAATGAACTGGGTGAAGGAAGTTTTCAAACTATGTTAAATTGCTAAGGGCTGGAACAGCAAAACAAGGACAAGTCCTCTAGCTGCATGAGAGCAAGGAAAGAACAAAGTAATTCTTCAGTTGACATTTAGACCCAAAGTTTAATAAACATAAATACCAAACCTACACGCAGGTACACTGTGTTTTCTCTCTTTGACAGAGGCCTCCTGGCATTCAATAAAAATTAGATAACAAAAACCAAACCACAGGGACCAAGTAATTAAATTATGCTCCCAGAAAAATGTAATAGCTGATACACATAGAAAAGAAACTGAAAATAACACTTAAGAATTTTTAAACTATTTTCACAGTACTCAAATTAAGTCGGAAAAACCACCTTAAAACCCTATCACTCACCCATGCAACATACTCTAACAGTGATAAGAGTTTGAATGCAATCTGCCCAGGCTATTTTTAATATGGCAGATGTTATTCAAATACATCTTGCTAGCAAAAAAAAAAAAAAAAAAAGGGCGGGGGGGACACTGTACTTTACTTTTTCTAAGCAATTTTATATGTTTAATTAATTAATTAGGACACTGTTTACACCAGATTCTCAGAAAGTATAAAAATGCAAGTTTAGTATCAAGTAAGTCCATAAATCTAAACAGTTCCTTAAAGGCAAAGCCTCAAAAGGAAAACTTTGCTAAAATTGAGGAGGATATTATGTCACAATCTAGAAATATAGATTTCTAGATTACAGTTGTCAGGCACAGCCAGCCTCCTGAGTACCTAAGGCTACAGGCACACACCACCACAATCTAGAAATTGCAACATATTTAGCTACAGTTGTCACGCACAGAAGTTAAAACAAAGCAAAGCAAAACAGTGAAATCATTGTTTGCTTCTCTAGCTGGGTCTTATATCCAATCATAAGAATGCTTTTGCCAACTGACAAACAACTCTGAAGTATTTTACTAATAAATGTCATCATTTACGAAAGAAAAAACAGCCTAGTATATTCATTTCTCTTGCCTCTATATGAAAGAAATAAGCTAATACTGAAAAATCTGTTTAAGATGGTATACATCTTTGCTTGGAAGAAAACATCTTTCCCAGATGTTGGTTTTGTTTTTTTTAATCGACTCCTCAACATTAAGGGATCTCCTTATGGTCTCCAGGCTGGCCTTGAACTCCTGACTCAAGTGATCCTCCCATCCCAGCCTCCTGAGTAGCTAATACTACAGGTACCACCACACTTGGCTCCAGATGTCATTTTAACAGTTGATATAGGTGTGCCAATTTTATACTGGTTTATTAAATAATCGTGGAACAGATGGGCAGTATCCTCCAACCATCAGTCCTGGTTTTGCCCTTTGGAACATGTGATCTCTCATCTACCTAAAAGACCTCTAGCTTAGCCAATAATAAGTTCTTCTAAAAGTCTTCTTTATTCTAGGAAAATACCCCTGCTCCTTCAACTGCTCCCAGAATGCAATGAACCATCCTGGCCACATTTCCATCTGTGGAGGATACAGGCACCAAGCTGGAGACGGGCTCTGACCAGCCCAGTTCAAGGTGGGGCTGTCACTCAATGTGGGGCTGTCATTGCCTAATTCTTAGAATCATTCCTTTTTGCTTAATATCAAAAAAATGAAAATAATAAAAATAAAATTTAGCTACAGCTTTGTGATCATTGCTGGCCATCACACTTCATGCAGGATCACAGTGGGCTTGCAATCAATTAAAATCCTAACATCTTTTCCTTCTTTTCATAAATTGCTATAAGGCCAATCTCCCACAGCTAGCACTTCCAGGTTTTGGATTTTTTTAATTTAAGCATAAGACTTTCAATTTTCTTCCAGTTAATGTCATACTGTCATTTCTTTTTAATTTAAAAAATATTTTGTTGGTTAAAAAAAAAAAGCTAATGAACATCTGGGCCTTCAGCAAGTTGTAATCTTTTTGCTGGTGGAGGGTCTTGCTTTGATGTTAATGGCTGCTGACTGACCAGGGTTAGTGACTGTTGAACGTTGGGTGGCTGTGGTCATTTCTTTCTTTTTTTTAATTCCACTTTTATTTTAGATGCAGAAGGTACATTTGCAGGTTTGTTACATGGGTATATTGCTATCTCTAACCAATCATTTCTGACCATAACCCTGAGACTATCACCCACCCAACTATGTGACTTTATGCATGTCAGGACATGCAGACACATGACTTTCCAGGGCATGTCTGCCACGTGGTACACTTAAAACACTAAAGAGGGCCGGGCCTGGGACAGGCTGATTCTCAGCTTCTCAGGAAGCCCCACTCCATGGGACAGCAATCATCTCTCTTCTAGTGTTGCTATTCAGCCACCTATTAAGCCAATTCTCACACTTTGCCAAAGGTAGTAATTTACTGAATTATAGATAAAAACTAAAGAAATGTGTATTGTAAATCCCTAGCAGGTTCTCAAATAGTAAAATATGCAGCCAACTTAATATAAACACCAAAATTGAAATCTAACTGTTCCTAAGTGCTTTTTATAAACATCTGCACTCTAATTCAACTAAACTGTTCACATAAATTTTATCATTTTTCTCTTCTGGGAAACATCAGTTATTTTTGGTCATTTTACTATGTGAAATGATCCCAGCCACATAAAACTGAATAAACCCACATGCTAACGTGATACTGCAGACGATACTAGCAAGTAGCACGGACAGAAAGGGAAAGTTTTCTCACAAAAATTGTTTGAAACATTTTGGACTCAAACCTGCAGCAGCAGCGTACCAGCGTGAGCTCTGGGTCCTGCAGCCAGGGTGGCAGCCCAGCAGCCTGGCTCATGGCCTGGAACAGCGTGGCCCTCAGTGCACAGTAATTATCACCACGGACTCTCCGTATGGAGGTGAACTTCTGAGAAACCTCCTCATAGCCCTGGGAAAAGGCATGAAAGAATTCAAAATGGTCATTACTGACTTGAGATAGCAGAGCAAGATTCATTCCTGTAGAAAACACTTGGCCTGGGATCACTGGGAAGATGCCCAATGTTGGAGCTTTATGTCCCTTTCTAGGAATTGTTGTAACACTTACTCACTGGCAACCAACATTTTGAAGGGTTTATCTGTGTTTTAAGTGACCCTAAACTCTTTAACAAAACGGCAAGAAAAAACAGAGACAAACTAAGTTTATATCTTCATATTAAGAAAATATAGAAAAACCTCAAGTTTCTAAAAAACAAAGGGAGGCAGTGTGAGGGGTGGGGGTGCTGTGTTCATGTGCATGTATATACAAAAGTCTATATGCCAGGAGATGGCTGAAAAACAATTCTGTTAGGCTTTTCTCTTTTCTCTTTATCTTTTTTTTTTTTTTTTTTTTTGAGATGGAGTTTCGCTCTTGTTGCCCCAGGCTGGAGTGCACTGGCACAATCTTGGTTCACTGCAACCTCCCAAGTTCAAGCAATTTTCCTGCCTCAGTCTCCTAAGTAGCTAGGATTACAGGCACACAGCACCATGCCCAGCGAATTTTTTGTATTTTTAGTAGAGACGGGATTTCATCATGTTGGCCAGGCTGATCTCGAGCTCCTGACCTCAGGTGATCCACCTGCCTCGGCCTCCCAAAGTGCAGGGATTACAGGCATGAGCCACCACGCCCGGCCTTTTTTTCTTTTTTTAAGCAAAATGAAGTGTCACTCTTGCTCAGTCTGGAAGTGAAACAAGGAAATGAAAATGTTCAGTGACATGCTTGGGCACTCAAAAATAGCAATCCAAATGGAATATTCTGAAATGTACCCTGAAAAGACACCATAAAATCCTAGTGACTCTGGTCCCTCAGCATGCATGGTGCCTGGCTTCTCCAGCTAGACACATGCACAGTCCTTGGGACTGACTTAAATGCCTGTCACCTCCCTGGCCCAGAGTCCAGTCAGCCCCTTAACTCATCCCACTCTTCTTTGACAGTCACTCAAGACCCACTTCCTACCCTGCACTCACACAAAGAAAGAAGTAGTATCCGCATCAAGGAGTGGGCACAATGAAGATCACCTCTGTCCTGGGTGTCCAGGTACTAGAACCTCATCATTAGCTGTTTTCAAGGTTCAGGTCATAGGATAATGTTTTAAGTGAATATAAAAGTACTTTTTTTCCCCAATAATAACATTTTGAGAGTTGCATTTTTATTCAGTGGTCCAACCACTGTAACACATAAGGTTCCATCAGGCAGAATCACACCTACTAATAATCATGCACTTCTTGCCTACGGTAAACCTCAATTACCCCAGAATACTTATGATGGCAAATTCAACTGCAATTGTACCTTTCCAAATGCATAAATTACTCATGCTATTTCAGAATAAAATTAAATCTGGCTTTGTATAAACTTACTTCCTAAAGAATATTCAAAACAAAAAAAGACAATTACACAAATAAGGACTAAAATAGAACGGAGGTGAAAGCTGTTTTCAGGCATCTGAGATGATCTAATTACTGCCATGAGTCCTGATGATATAGGGCTAGACGCTGGAAAATCTGCAAGTGACCAATAGCATAGTCAGCAAAAATATAAATGTTCTTAACCTCTGGCAGGAGCTAAGAGTCCCAGGTGTTTCATAATTGAGTTCTCTAACAAGTGCCTAAAAACACAAAGCATCTACATATCGGATTTGCAGAGAGCTATCATCTTCTCTCAGAGCTTTATAAGTGGCAGCTAGATTTTTACTAAGGTCAGCCCATGGGCAGTTGAGTTACATGCTGAAAGATGAGCAACATTTTCTATAAAAACGAGCTCTAAGGAAAAGACTAAATATTCAAAAATTTAAAATCCTAACCAAAAAAACTTAAAGATATTTCTATTAAATATGATGGTCAGTATCTCTAATGTAAAAGTGCATTCAAATTCATAATGTAAATAATCTCAAGAGAAAAATGAGCAAAAGATAAACCCAGAGGTTTCAGGAGGTCATGGAAGTCTTGGGTTAAATCTGCTATTTGACTGTTTTTGAGCTATTCACATGGTTCATCCTACCGATAATACTGGACTTGGTATGTATCTGAGGGTAGAGCCCACAGGGTCTACTGCTTGATCAGCTGTGTAGTATATGTTGGCCAGGTGACTGAGCTGAGTAATGAACCGGCCCAAAGAGCCACAGCAGGACCACATCATACGAGTCCCCAATGTCATCTCACAGCCTTGGGGACTATCTTCAAGACACCAACCTATGCAATGAGGTTGGGAGGGGGCGGCTCCTGGGACACCTTAAATGAAAGAAGTAATTCCCGATTTTCCTGTGTAGGGAGTGCAAGAAGGTTCTAGGCCCCAGGACTGGCAGGTGTGTAAGCAAACCCAATGTGCTGTGGGAAGCAGGAGTGTGGAATAGGCCTGAGGCATCCCTGAGGCTTTTATTTTACAACACCAGGCCAAAAAGGGCATTCCCAAATGGCCCCAAGAGGACAACCAATGGCTGGCCCTATCTGAATAGCAGAGTCAGATGTTTTTCAAAGAAATTAAGTTACTGAGTAACTGATGCCGATTCTATATTAATATCATGACTTAAAACAAACCCCTTATCTTTGGAGTCTATTTCCTTACCTCTAAAATTAGAACATCAATAATAAAGTCTATAGCAGTCATCTTAACTAATGTCTAAAAATATCAAATGACATATTAAACAACTTATGACAGACTATTTGAAAGACCTGAAATATGTGCATGTGTCATACCTTTTTCATACATGTTGCTTTCTGTGTATTTCCCCTCCATTCTTTTTTGCAGTAGTCCATGATATCCATTTCAGGAGCTACACTTAATCTTGGTTCTGTTAAAGAATTAAAAAAAAAAAAAAAAGCAAATAATAAATCAAAGCATAATCAGAATATTGTTTTAGTTGGGGGTTACCCTTCCTTCTTCATTTTCTTTCTTCATGCCAAAAAACCCAGAATTCAACCACTGCCTACCCCCTGGTCCAGACCACCATTACCTCATCCCTAGATAACCACAGTGGTCTCCCAATGGGTGTCCCTTGCCACCACACTCTCCAGACCATTCACCACATGGTAGCTAGCCAGGATGACACATCTAAACATGAGTCAGATGGTATCGATCACTCCTGGGCTCACAGAGCTCCAGAGGCTCCTGCCTCATGGCCTTATTCCTCATACAGTCCCCCTCTCTGCCTCTCTGGTCTCTGCTCCCACCATTCCCCACAATGACAGGGCTACAGCCTCTCAGTACCCTCCAGCATACCTGGCTTGCTCTTCCCCACACCTGCAGCACTGTTCCCTCCCTCCATGTAGGCCTCTGTTCCAGGGTCGGCAGGCACCTTGTGTTACAATATCACACACACTTTTGCTCTCTATTCCTTTTATACTACAGTATTTGGTTTTTCTTCTTAGCACTCATCAGTACCTGAAATATTTTTCTGTACCACCCCCACCCCCCACACACATACACGCCCATACAAAAATACAGTAAAACACAAGCTCCTTGAGGGCAGGGACTTTGTTTTGTTTCTCAGCTGTGTTATGTCCTCAGCATCTGGAGCTGCACTGACACACAAGTGCTCACGAATTCTTTTCTAATCAAATTAAAGATGTGACAGTTTGAACTATAAGAAAACACTTCTAAAAATGAGTAATCATTTTTATAACCATTTTACAAAGAAATAACACCTACTATAACAAAAATTACGTTTAATTATCTTGATGTATTTATGTCCTACCCTGATCCCAAAGAGCTGTAAGTAATCGATAATAAACGAGAAACTGACAGAACTCTCCATGCCTATTAATCCACGGACCTCACCTGACTCTAACAACACATCCCCCAAAATTAAAAATACAACTCACCATCAGATAAATGTTATAGTTTAAAAAAAAAAAAAAAAAAAAAGACCTTTAGATTTTCCTAGTTCAATGTATGCGATTTGGGGTTTTTGTGGTACATGCATATACACGCACGTGTGCATATAAGCATGTGTGTTTTCGGAAGAAAAGGAGGTAAATTCTTTGGCACATCTTGGCTTCCTTTTTAAATTATTGAAGGTGTAGCTGCTAGCAATGATTTTAGAATATAAATACAGAAGTACCTTATAACGTATTTACTCCTGAGCAAGTTGTACATGAAATAAATGTTTTATTTAACTAAATTCAACAATATTTACTGAGTGTCTAAAATGTACCAAATATTGAGCTAGGAGCTGGGAATACAAGATGATGAAGACAGTATTCTATCCTCAAGGGCCTTATGGATTACTGAAGAAAAGACAACAAGCACTTATAAACCACGGTGTGATAGGTACTAGGATGATTAGGAGCACAAAATTCTCCTTGCAGGTTAGGTAAATTTTTTTTTTTAATTTTTTTTTAGGTAAACTCTTAAGGACTGCCAATTTTTCAAAATCTCATTGTGCATCTTTTTATAAAGAAAAGTAACCTTTTACATAAAACAGAAAACAATACATATACAGATAATAGACATATTTATTTGTGGCATACACTGGGATTACTTAAAAGTGAAGCAGGCTCCTGAGGTATAATATATAGAGACAACGAAGACCAATGCTGCACAGCCAATCCTTAAAGAACCTTCTTTTTTTTTTTTTAATTCAAGAAATACTTTTTGCATGTCTACGTGGTGGATGGATGCATTCTCATGTATCTGTCTTTCCATTCACCTGCCCAAAAGGGAAGAAATGCAAACATCCAGAGTCAGGACACCTATTGGTCCACCTTTTTCCTCCAGGTAGGGTTATGGGCCTGAACAGAAAGCACATGTCCAGCTCAGAAAGGGCCTCCTGGAAAGGAAATCTACATTCCTGCTCTCCTCCCTGCCGTACTCATTCCTTTGCATATCAAGATAAGACCTGGCAACCTGAACAGGGTGGAGCAAGCCCAGCACCTCAGGACTGAGGAGAGGAAGCATAAGGCCTCACAGGCCAAGAGACCAAGCCACAGGCCATAGTCAAGTGCTAAATCAGAGGCCTATGTGGGGCCGTGAGGGTTGGGAAAATGGGTACCAGCACAGCTGGCAGCATCAAATACCTGAATTCTCATTCTGCTGTGGTCCTCTGTAAGGAGGACTCCAATGGCTACTACATGCCAGGTACCAGGCTAGGAGCTGGAGATGAAGGACAAGGCTGTACCTGACCTCAAGCAGTTTACGGAGTTAAACAGCACCTTTCTTTAGTTGCAAACTACATAGACTCTGCCATTTTCAAAAAAGGACATTTCGAATGTCAAGAAAATAAAAAATAGAAAAATAAGGAAGTTGAAAACCAGAAGAGTGGTAAAGCCAGGAGTTGAAATAACCAAGAGGTTTGTTCTTTAGCCACCACATGGGTGACAAAGACAAGAATCAGACCTCCAGAAGATGGGAAGTTAAAACTGAAACCCCTCCGGAAAGCAGGGACTCTCAGAGGGTAGAATAAGACAGGAATCTCAATCTTTGTCTGTAATGGGCCAGATAGGAAATAAGGCTTTGAGGGCCATAAGGTTTCTGTCACAGCTACTCAACTTTACCACGCATGAAAGCCACCACAGACCATACGTAATCCCAGCACTTTGGGAGGCTGAAGCAGGCAGATCACGAGGTCAGAAGTTAGAGACCAGCCTGACCAACATAGTGAAATCCCATCTCTACTAAAAATACAAAAATTAGCTGGGCGTGATGGCGTGTGCCTGTAATCCCAGCTGCTCAGGAGGCTGAGATAGGAGAATCACTTGAACCCAGGAAGTGGAAGTTGCAGTGAGCCGAGATCATGCCACTGCACTCCAGCCCAACAACAGAGCAAGACTCTGTCTCAAAAAAAAAAAAAAAAGAGAAAGAAAGAAAGAAAAAACTTTATTTATAAAACCAGGTGGTAAGTCAGATTTGGCCTTGAAGCCATAATTTGCAGACTCCCAGGTACGGTGGAAAAAATCTTATCACTAACAGAGAGGGTAAGAAAACTTTCTGCTCAGTCTGGGCTCTGCTTCAGGGGAGAGGGTAGTGAACATTATTTCAGGAAGGACATTGAACCCAGAAGGTCTGAGATGCAAGGAATGCAAGGGGGTCCATTTCACTCTCAGACTAAAGCTAGGAGTTGCAAGACCCACTATAAAGCTTGATCACCTATGTGGGGTACAATGCCAAACAGAAGAGAATCACAACAGAAAGCCTATAGGATGGAGGACTGTCACCAGGTTAACAAACACCAGCTAAACACACACATTCTTCTTAGGAATCTGACTAATGAGGACACTGCACTCTACATGAAATTTTGAGCAACGACAGCAATAGAGACTGAGCAGTCTCTGAAGTTTTATGGAAGATTGTAACAGTGCAACTCCAGAACACACCACTACTAAGAGTATCTCCTGTGGCTACCACAGTAAAGTGTTCACCAATTCCTTGAGAACGGCTCAAAAAGTATTATAAAAACCACACTGTGTATCATTTGTTCCTAATCACACATGGCAATGCTTTTGTTCGCCATAAACAGAAGCTAGTTCTCAAAAGCAGAACACAGACAAGGGTCTTCTAAGGTTCATGGAAAATTAGTTTTATGAAAAAGCTATGGATGGATTTCAATTTTTTTTGGTATCATGATAAACTCAAATTAACTTTTTATAACATGTATGAACAGGATCTAGTCTAAAGCACTGAGAAAGATAAGACATCAGTTTGAAAAGAGCCCCTGTTAGAGCAAATGAGTTCTGCTAAAATTAAAGCAAGAAAAAACATCAAATTTATGGTGAGGTATGGGCAAAAGAATGGTGAAATCACTTATGATTTATAAACAGTTTATAAGGACAATGCCCCAAAGAAATCAGCAGCTTACAAATGGATAACTCGTTTTCGTAAGGGACATAACGATGCTGAGGATGAAATCTGCAGTGTCAGACCATCCTTATCAATTCAGGAGGAAAATATTAATCTTGCTTGTGTCCTAACTGAAGGGAACCAACAATTAACAGCAGAAACAATAGCCAACATCATAGACATCTCAACTGGTTCAGCTTACATAATTCTCACCAAAAAATTACCGTTGAGCAAACTTTCCACTCCATAGGTGCCAAAACCACCATTTCCAGATTAGCTGCTGACAGAAGCAAAGTTTTCAAAGGAAATTTTAAACAAGTGGGATCAAGACCCTGAAGCATTTCTTCAAAGAATTGTAATGGGAGATGAAACCTGGCTTCACCAGTACGATCCTGAAGACAAAGCACAACCCAAGCCATGGCCACCAAGAGGTGGAAGGGATCCAGTCAAAACAGAAGCAGACTGGTCAAGAGCAAAGGTCAGGGCAACAGTTTTTTGGGATGTTGAAGTATTTTGTTTGTTGACTTTCTAAAGGGCCAAAGGACAATTAACATCTGCTTATTCTGAGAGTGTTTTGAGAAAGCAAAAGCTTTAGCAGAAAAATGCCAGAGAAAGCTTCACCAAGAGTCCTCCTCCATCACAACAATGCTCCTACTCCTTCCTCTCAAACAAGGGCAAGAGTTTTGATGAGAAATCATTAGGCATCCACTTTACAGTCCTGATTTGGCTCCTTCTGACTTCCTTTGGTTTCCTAATCTTAAGAAGCCTTTAAAAAAGGACACACATTTTTCTTCAGCTTGTAATGTAAAAAAGATGCTGCATTCACATCATTAAATTCCCAGGCCTGTCAGTTCTTTAGGGATTTCAACAAATGGCTGGTATCATCATTTAAAAGTGGCTTGAAACTGATGGAGCTTATGTTGAGATATAGTTTATATATATATATAAACTTCATATATATATATATATATATTTTTTTTTTTTTTTTTTTTGAGACAGAGTCTCGCTGTTACACAGGGTGGAGTGCAGCAGTGCGATCATGGCTCACTACAGCCTCAAACTCCCAGGCTGAAGTGGTTCCCCCACCACAGCCTCCTGAGTAGCTGGCACCATAAGCATGCACCACCACGCCTGACTAATTTTTGTATTTTTTGTAGAAACAGGGTCTCCTTGTTTGCCCAGGCTGGCTCAAACTCCTGGACTCAAGCAATCCACCCACCTCCGCCTCCCCAAGTGCTGGGATTACAGGTATGATCTACCACACCCAGCCTTCTATTTTTTAATTCCATTTTTCCATAACCTTTTTTATAGTCTTCTTATACATTAGTCACATAATGAGAGAGAAAATGCCACTTGTGATTATTCATGGCGTATCCCAAAATCAGAGTATCTCTATGCAGCTCCTGCATGAGGGCAGTCAGGGAACTAAGGATGGACATCACATGCAACCTTGCCAGCCAAGTCTCCATGGACCAGCGGAGGGGGCCAGGAGTAACACCTCACTCCAGCAGCAATGGGTCCTAGTAGGGGTAAGATCAGGCAAGACAAGAAAAACACAGACATGAAATCACAAAACAATGAGACTCTGTGCTACTGATCCCATCATTGTCTTTCTTATTAATCACATTCATATGGCTATCTGCATACAAAGATGCGCACAGCCAGTTTCTCAGTGAAGTCTTTCCATTTGAAATGAAAAACGCACTTCAAATCTGAACTCTCCCTCTAAGAATATAAGGAAATCAAGAACAGAGAGAGGATGCTGTCAAGAGATTAAACAAAATAATCCTCATAGGTGCGAAAAATGATATGAATGTAAAGAATGCAGAGGGAATGCTTGCATTAAAATTTAAAAACCTCAGGTAACAACAGTCTGTAAACATACCTCACCAAAACAAATAATCAATATTGATAAGACCATATACGTAAGAATATTTCCTAAGAAGTACATATTAATATTTTACGAAAATGGATATACTGATTTAGCTGCATTTTCTGCTATAAATAAGAATTCTATAAATAAAACAATTCCAAACATACCTGATGCCCCTCTTTCATGTATAAGCAATTCTTTCTCCTTTTCTATTTCATCTGCAGCACGGTACATGTCCTCCTCACTGAAATCACACCAAAGCAGACATTTTCAAACACTTGTTGCACTGACATTTTCCGTCCTATTACACAGCTGCTTACAAAATGCATAATACACTAAGGATTTAACTTTTTTCACTTTACATGATGATAATCTGATATAATATGGGTCTTCTGTGTTAAGGATAATGATGCGTATGTTTCTATCACACCACTTTCTTCTACTTCAGAATTTCTTACTTTAAATAAGACAAGTTACATCACTTCATTTGCTACATGGTTCTGAGGTCATTTTATTTGTAATGCCTATTAATGCTTCAACTATGTATCTAGACATCATAACATGCATTTTATTAGTGAAGCTCCTGAACTGATTCTGTCAAGTTCCAAAAACGGAGATAGCGCTGGCAAAAGTATTTATATAGGAATGCAGGCCCATTGCTGACCTTTGTAACATGTCACAAGCAAACCCAACAATAGCTACCTTAAAAACAAGAAGAGACTATCAATTACAAATTGCCAGAGCTGAAAAACCTCCTCAAATTCCTCCTGCTTCCTGACCCCACATTCAACCAGCCGCTCATGCCGCTGTGGCATATATTCCCACTGTCCCACTACTACTGACTTCTTACTCAGAATTTCCTTAAGAGTCTCTAGTGCTTTAGTTAACTAACAAGAGCCCACTAACTACTACAAAGGGAAAAAATCCACTAGATGCTAGGCAATGATGAAGAATGGGGCTTCTGGTTTGAAGACATCTCCTTTCTCCCTCAAGATTCATCCCAAAATGACAATAAAGGGAAATAGAAATACCAACTCTCTCTTTCATGAAACCGGAAGACAGGTGAAAGTCTGAAGAGGTGGAAAGCAGATGAAATGATAAATGACATGGGACAGGGAAGCCAAGGCTGGTGGATGGGCATCGGTGGAAGGCAAGCCAGCAAATCTGGCAGAACACCAAAAAGGCTCAGGAATTGGAGGCACCAAGTCTTTCAGGGAGCATGAGTAACACACTGAGCAGAAAACAAGGTGAACTGCTGATGTTCACATAAGCAATGATCAGATCCCCGATTCCCCATACTTCTGCCTCATGAGAGCAAACCCAATCCTTACACAAGGCTATAGACTCAATGAAACACAGGAAGGAGGAGGTGCCAGGCTAAAAACAAAAAAAGAAATTCAGTGAATGACTGAGATACCCCTACCCCCAATTCCCTCATCACCCTAGCACCTGGTACATGGCCTAGTATAGTTGAGGGAAAGAGGAAGGGATCAGAGGGCAAGAGACAGATGAAGAAGAGGTACTGTGAGCGGCAGACTGTGGAAGGGAGTCTCACACGTCCCCATTAAAACCTTTCAGTGGTGCCCAAACGCTCAGAAAACTAACATCAAAATTATGACCTTACCCACCATTCTAGCCTGTATCCCATTATTTCCCTATGCCCTATTCACACTCAGTCCAAATGCCCGACCAGCACTATCATGCGCCTGTACATCTCTGATTCGCTCAGATGTTCCCTCTTCCTGAATGGCCCACAATTCCTGACCTGCCCACTGCCTAACATGTCACAATGCACGCCATTTGGGTAAGCCCCTACAGAGTGCAATGGTTAGAATGGGGACCCAGGAAATCGACTGCCAGGGTTTATTTAACTAGTCCTCATTCCAGTCCTTATTAGCTGTATGACTAGAGTAACTACACCTCTCGGCATCTAGATTTAACCACGTGTCAAAATGGCAGTTGTCCTTTACTCACCTCCAAGGGCTACTGTAAGAAACAGATACATAGAAAATAATTAGCACTCAAAATTAAGTTAGCTGTTCTTATTAATTCTCATTTTATGCCCACTGGTGCAAAGTATTAATGAACAAACTGACTAATGATCATTTTTTTATTTGTTTCTCTATAAATATGTAACTGTGTGTATTTTAAAAGTATGGGGATGAGGGAACAAGTATCAGGAAAAGGTACTTTCCATGTGCTCTTGCTTCCAGTGAGATTTCAAGTAAAAAGTGTGATGTCACCCTTAGAGCTCATGCCAGAGTTAAAAACAAACAGAAACCTGATTCATGGGGACCATACATCAAAGGCCTAAAATAAAAAGTGACCAAATATGTTCATTCTTCTCTTAATAATTTAACAACATCTTCCAGTCTCCTTCCTGGCTTTATAAGAGACAAACAGACAAATTCTAATCCTGTAAAACAGTCATTTAAGAAAATTACTTTCATGGTATCATTATCGGAAGCATACCTTTGGGCAAGCCACTTGCCCAACCTTGGCCTCGGTTTTCTCATCTTCAAAATGAGAAGACAGGAAGAGGCCATATAAGCTACATGGTTCCTCTTCCAGTTCTTTAGTCTATGAATATATTTGTCATGAAAATTGCACTTTGAGTGAAAGTGGCTATACTGCATGCACATTTGGCTCCATTTTTGTTTTCTTCCTTTTTAATCTACAAAATAACCAAAATCCAAAACCAATACCCGGAGGAGGTTCTCTAAACAAGAGACTCTCCATCCCACAAATATAAATTCCTATGAAGGCCAAACAGGAAAGGAAAGAAAGAAACAACAGAACTAAATACAAAGGGAAGGTGAATGGGAAATTGCTGGAAATAAAAAGCAGTGATTTAGGATATATGAAAAAAGTAAAGCAGAAACAGAAGAATAAGAGAACCAGCGTATATTCAAATTGCTTTAAAAACAACTGGATTTCACTCAGATCCTGTGCATGAACATTTGCTAACTTCATGGCCACCAAGGACATACATAAAATGTAATATCACCTTTACTAAAGGCCACCATTAAAATAAAAATAATCCTGCTTGAAGCCAGGAGTTCAATAACAGCCTGGGCAAGAAAGCAAGAACCCACCTCTACAAAAACAAAAAAAAATCCATTGGGTGTGCTGGCACTCACCTGTAATCCCCCCTACAGAGGAGACTGAGGAGAGAAGATCACTTAAGCCTAGGAGTTGGAGGCTGCAGTGAGCTATGATCACACCACTGCACTCCAGCCCAGGTGACAGAGACCCGGTCACTAAAAAAAAATAATTAATTAATTAATTAAATTTTAAAAAGTAATCCCGAAGAGTAAGTTTTAGGTTTGGGCAATGAACCTCAATCAATATATTCAGGAAGGAGGACATTTCGCAGCCAGAATGAAATAGTTACCCATTTAATAAAAAGATAAGCAAAAAGAAAGAAAGAAAGAAGAAAGAAAGAAAGAAACAAACAGAGCAAAAAAATAAAAATAAAATGTTATTTTAAAAATGCTTCACTCTTTCCTTTTTATTGCTGAATAAACTTTCATCAAATAGAAAAAAAAAATGCTTCACTCAATAAACTTTTGCTTTAAGTATTAAAATAATAAAGCTGAAAATAATGACAAAATGAAATTATACTAAAACCTGGGCATCTGAAACAGGTAGAGAGTTTAAGTTTTTGTTATGGGATGGGAAGATAATAAAACAATGACAGGAACAGGGATTCGGTAACCTTTTGTGTGTCAAGTTGGGGTGGCAGTGGGGAGGTAACCACTCTGACACAGAAGAAACCAATGAAGCTCAACGACTCAGATGATCACCAGAGCAAAAAAAAAAACAAAAAAAAATTTCTTTTCTATGTTAAAGAAAAGTTAAGCCAAAGTCTAAATGACTTGATTTCCTGGCAGTCATACTCAATTCCACAGTTAAAATTTGTTAAAGGATATAAATAAAGGGTAAAATTACAGTTGGATAGAAGGAGTAAGTTCTAGTGTTCTATACCATTGTAGGATGACTATAGCTAATCATCTACTATATAAATTCAAACAGCTAAGAGAAAGATACTAAACGTTCCCAAAAACAAAGAAATGATAAACATTTGAGATGATGGACATGCTAATTACCCTGATCCGATCACTATAGTTATGTATAACAAAACATCATTATGTGCCCCATAAATACGTATAATTTAAAAATAATTCAATTAAAAAATTATGTATATGTTTCTTGAGACAGGATCTCACTCTGTTGCCCAGACTAGAATGCGACCATACAACCACAGCTCACTGCAACCTCGACCTCCTAGGCTCAAGCAGTCCTCCCACCTCAGCCTCAAGTAGCTGGGACCACAGGTATGCACCACCACATCAAGCTAATTTTTTAAATTTTGTATAAATTCAGGGTCTCACTATGTTGCCCAAGATGGTCTTAAAGTCCTGAGCTCAAGAGATCCTCCCGCCTTGGTTTCCCAAAGAGCTGGGATTATAGGTATGAGCCATCACGCCCAGCCTAAATTTTAAAACCAAATGCTAACAATTCCTAATTAGAAAATTCTTAGTTTTGCAACATGGTATTATTTTAAACTGTATACGTATATTTTCAAGGTCCTATTAAACAATATTTACCTATTTTCTTTTTGTGTGTGTGGTGGAGTTTCGCTGTTGTCACCCAGGCTGGAGTGCAATGGCGCGCTGTCGGCTCACTGCAACCTCAGCCTCCCAGGTTCAAGCGATTCTCCTGCCTCAGCCTCCCAAGTAACTGGGATTACAGGTGTGTACCACCATGTCCAGCTAATTTTTATATTTTTAGTAGAGACTGGTTTTCACTACATTGGCCAGGCTGGTCTCAAACTCCTAATCTCAGGTGATCCACCTGCCTTGGCCTCCCAAAGTGCTGGGATTATAGGCATGAGCCACCATGCTTGGCCTGTTTTGTCTTAACCTGGAGATAAAATATTTTATTTTTGATATTAAGGCAATTTATCCAACTGAGTAAGCTATATGTTGCATACTAAATTATAACTGGAACCACCTGCTCTGTTCAAACATCTGCATACCAACCAATTTTTGAAAACATTTTAAACATGCTTACTATACAGACACAAAATTATACTATTCCCAAGAATAAAGGCCACGAGTTAAAAAAAAAAAAAAAGAGCTCAGTAAAGCAGAAGACATTTCTCTGAAGTCAATTTTTCAATTTCTGATTCAAGTAAACATGTAATAGAAAAAAAAAACAATTCTAATATATACACAAAGC